CGGCAATTTTTAGAATTTTTGGAAAATTTGAATATGAGACCGAGTATTTCGGAAATCTTGGTCTCGAGCAGAAACACGCTAAATTTTTAGAACCAGCAAGCTGAGATCTATATGCCAGAAATTTTTGTGGATTTTTAGGCGATTTTTCAAAAATCTCAATTGAAATTCAAGAAAGTTCGGACCGTTTTTTGACTACTTTTGAAAATTACCTCAACGGATTTTTTTGTAGATTTTTTTGACTTCTAGAAGGCATTTTCGGCTTTAGTTCTTTTAAAATTCTCACCACTTTCAGAATCGCCGAATTAAATTGGACAATTTTTGGAATTTTCGAATTTCTCTTGTTCTATCTTGTATCTTGTTATGTGGATAAATGCTATATTTTTTTAATCATCATGCCAATTTTTGAACAACCTTTTCAAAAGCTTAATTTTTCAAAACAAATGTCGATCTTTCAGTAGGTCATTTGCCAAAATCAGTCTTATTTTGGCAAGTACTATCCCCACCCGCCCGCCCTTTATTTTTTTAGAGAATATGTTATTTGCCACAATCAGTCTTATCTTGCCAAGCACCAGCCCCGCCCACCCGCCTTTCATTTTCTTAGAGGGCTAGTACCTGCTAAGATAACACTGATTTTGGCGAATGAGATACCCTCTAAAAAAAGAGGTGGGCGGGGTTACTACCTGCTAAAATAAGATCGATTTTGGCAAATGACAAACCTTGTAAGAAAAGAGAAAAAGAGGGCTAGTACTTGCTAAGATAAGACTAATATTGGCATATGACCTACTTACTCTCTAAAAAAATGAAGGGTAGAGGGCATATCATTTGGCAAAATCAGTCTTATCTTGTCAGCTACTAGCCCCTCCCACCCACCCTCTCTTTTCTTACAAGGTTTGTCATTTGCCAAAATCGATCCTATTATTTTTGTATATACTTTTTCATTTTTTTTGACAACTTTATTTAATTTTTTATTAACAAGTCTCTTTCAGATTAGAGAAATTCATATAAATAAACTTCAAAATAATGATAAAATGTTCATAATCTTAATTTCAAGGATAAGCAAAATTTATACGAGTCTAAAGTGTTGCCAAAGACTCAAGGTAGCATTTTTGGATTTTGTCGAACATGCCAATGTGAAATGTGTCACCTTTTTCGAAAATTACCAACATAATTTTTTTTTGAAAACTCTATTTCCAGAATTGCCCAAAGAAGAACGACAATTTTTGTGATTAAAAAAAGAAATTTTCAAGCCGAATGTTTTTAAAATTTTCGAATTAACACGTCGAAATCTGTATTTTAGAATTTTTTGCGAATTTTTAGACGTGTTCAAAAACTAAATTTTTCAGTACTTCCCCCTTATGAGAGTTTGGACCATTTTTCGACTATTTCATAGAGAAATTGTATTCGAAAACTCCTAACATTTTTCCGGAATCACTGCAAAAATATGGCAGTTTTTTATTTTTAAATATTATTCAGGGGCTATGAAATCTAAAAATATTTTAGAATTTTTTGTAAATTGTTGGACGCTTAAAAATTTAATACCTTTGGCAATTTTTAGAATTTTTTTCAAAAATTACTTTCAAATCGCATATTTCTAAAATCTTGTTGTGAGACCATAAACATCCTTTATTTTTGGAATTAGCATGGCGACATCTGTGTCCCAGATTTTTTTTTTTTATTATTATCAGGCAACTTTTTCCTAAGTTCAGTTTTTCAAAACCCCCTTAAATGAAAATTTCCACCATTTTTTAGCCATTTCAAAAAATTATGTGAAGAGATTTTTTTGTTGATTACGACCTCCAGAAGTTATGTTCGGCCTCATTTCGTTGAAAACTCGTACCATTTTTACAGAATTTCCAAATAAAATGTGTCAATTTTTAGTATTTTTTCCAAAAATTTATTTCTAAATCGAATTTTTCTAAAATCTTGCCCCGGGACCTTAAAAAATACTATATTTTTAGAATCATTACGTCGAAATCTCTATCCCAAAATTTTTAGTTAATGTGTAGACAACTTTTTCAAAAACTCAATTTTTAATGCTTCACCCATTAAGAAAATTTCGATTTTTTACTTCCCGAGCGTAAGCAAAGGAAGTATTGTAATCGAGTCCGTCGGCCGACTCTCTACTTTTACGTTTTCTCGATCTTTCATGACCCCTAGAAGACGAAGAAATAGGTCTCCCATTTCCGTCTGTCTGTCCGTCTGTCCGTCCGTCTGTCCGTCTGTCTGTCCGTCTGTCCGTCTGTCCGTCTGTCCGTCCGTCTGTCCGTCTGTTGTCCCGGATTTTTATTAGACAGATAATCTCCGAAAGTACTCGACCGATTGTTGTGAAATTTTGTACTTATATTAAGAATATCATGTAGATGGTAAAACGCTAACCAAAATTTGTCGAATCATCCCCACCACTAAAACGATGACGTCACTTCAAAATTGTACATAGTAAATGGGTTTTCAATTGTATAAAATAACATAGTCCTACACATGTAGTTTACAACTCTGAATCGACTTTTCACCCGAAACGTCCAGATTTTTGGAAAAAAAATCAAAATTATAAAACAACATTTTGAAATTTAATTTTTAATCTGCTAACCAGAATGCTTTGAAATGTTGCAGATGTTTTAAGGCTATAAAGAGCATCATAAATCTTTAGTCAAAAAATATTTGCTTATCCCCTCCAAAAACTTGATGACGTCAGCTCAAAAGTTTGTGGAATAAATCATATCTAAAATGTACAAAATACGATGAGTCTGTACTTGTGATCTATCACTCCATTAATATTTTTTGGATTTGCATATACAGGGTGACTCAAAAAAATTAATGAATGCGTAAATATATTTTATTGATTTAATCAGGAACTACAAAACCGAATGCTCTGAAATCTTGCAGATGTTTTAAGGTCATAAAGAGCATAATAAATGTTTAGTCAAAATATATTTGCTTATCCCCTCCAAAAACTTGATGACGTCAGCTCGAAAGTTTGCCGAATAAATCATATCTAAAATGTACAAAATATGATGAGCCTGTACTTGTCATTTATCACTCCATTCATATTTTTTGGATTTGCATATACAGAGTGACTCAAAAAAATTAATGAATGCGTAAATTTATTTTATTGATTTAATCAGGAACTACAAAACCGAATGCTTTGAAATCTTGCAGATGTTTTAAGGTTATAAAGAGCATAATAAATTTTTAGTCAAAATATATTTGGTTATCTTCTACAAAAAACTGATGACGTCAGCTCAAAAGTTTTCCGAATAAATCGTATCTAAAATGTACAAAATATGATGAGTCTGTACTTGTGATTTATCATTCCATTCATATTTTTGGATTTGCATATGCAGGGTGACTCAAAAAAATTAATGAAGGCGTGAATTTATTTTATCGATTTAATCAGGAATTACAAAACCGAATGCTTTGAAATCTTGGGAATATTTTAAAGTTATTATAAGCATGGTAAACTTTTGTTCAAAATGTATTTGTTCATCCCTCCTAAAAAAATTGATGACGTCACCCTTAAATTTTGCTGAATAAATCCTATCTAAAATGCAAAAAATATGATGAGTTTGTACTTGTGATTTATCATTCCATTCATATTTTTTAGATTTTCTTAAGAGGTGGTTCAAAAGAATTAATGAAGTCAATTTATTTTATTGATTAAATTAAAGGCAACACTTATTATTAGTATTACACCCCAACCAACCCAATTTGGTAGACACAAAATTTGTTAAAGGAAAAACTCGGTTGAAACATAAGGGTAGCACGCTTATTTACATCGACTTTAACATTACAGACCTGCATTTGTTTTATGCGCTCACTTGGTTCCGCGAATGTGAAATAGACATGTTTATAATCAACCAATTGTGAATTTCACCGTCAAGAATTAAAATAAAACCCAATGTTTTATATAATAAGCGGAAGTCGAAGCAATAAAACCGACGGTCGTTTTGTTTACAGTTTCTGTGTTTGGCTCTCACGTATGCTGTTACGCCTGTCATCTTAAATTAACAATGTTTATACATACACGATTTTCAGTTGCCTCTGATACGTAGGTATACGTGAGTAAATTGTTTCGTTATTTTATTGATTATTACAAATCAATATTCAAACGACCCAATTCATTTTCCCGAAAATTTGAGAATATAATAATTTTATTCTTAGTATTACACTACATCTATCCCAACTGATATACGTGTCCTTGCAAAAATGTTGATGACGTCATCGCAATTTTTTTTTAAATTCCCACTACAAAAATGTAATGAGAAAAAAAACACAATAGGCATGCAGTCGTCAAGTTTCCGACAGCGAGGGAAGTACTGTCTAAACTCTTTAGACCAATTTTTTTTAACTATTTTCGGAAATTATCTAAAGATTTAAATATAATGTTTGGAATAACGAATTTGAGACTGAATAAAAAATCTCAGATTATTTGTAATTTTTAGAAATATTTTTGAAAACTCAATTTTTCAATATTTTCCCAATGGAAATTTTACCCGTTTTTCAATCGTCAAATATTTTTTTATAAATTTAGCCCTCTATAAATTAATGTGGGCTTCATTTCTTCAAAAGCTTGTACTAATTTTCCAGAAAATTACGAAATACAGTAAAACAGTTTGGTAAAATAAAATTGTTCCGGTAATTGCACCCTCCGGGGATAAAAAATAATAACTTGTGCTGTCCACAAAAGGGATTATTAATTTATAAGCTCTTTCTGTAATTGTTATGGACAATACGAGATCGAAAAGTTCCGACCAGAAATTCTAAGTAGATGTTGTTTTAAAAATATGTAGACAATCAACATTATTTGATATAAGTTCATACTTTTATGGTAATCCTACCGCGCCTTTTAAACTTCGCTCTGCCCCTCTAGAATTCCGCTAATAAAATCCAAATTCCATCGCCACTCCAATCCACTCCACCCCTTAGCAAATTTCCAAACTCAACGCCTCTCGAGCCGCATTTTCGGCGTAAACGATCGCAATTTGACGCCTGTTCCGTTCCAGCCGTGTCGACGATCCTCGATTCACTCGACGACATCTACTGCCTTCAGGAATCGCAGCCTCAAGAGCGCGCGCACCTTCTGGCCTTGCTCGAAGACACGCATCTGCACGTCCTGTTAGAGGTAAGCGTGAGCGTTCCGAGCGCATGTCCTCCTAGTACACGACGACAGCTCGCGGCCTCTACAACCGCGATTGATCGCCGCCACCACGTTTCCCGTTCTGGCGGCGGCGGCGACGGTCACGCATCCGCGCTCCGTCCACGTGGAGGCTCGTGCGACATGCCGCGCTTAAAATGAAACACAAGACCAAGTACCAGGACTTGTACCATTGTAACACCTCCCTGGCCGTCGACGTGCTGTCGCTGATCGGGTTGTTGGTAGGCGGCGCGACGGGGGCGACCGGACGGGGTGAGGTGAAGTGCCGCCACGACGCGTGCTGGCGTCGTTTGCCATATCCTCCCGGGTCCGGTCGCCTCGCGGATACTCCACATGACTGGCTCTTTGTTCGCAGCTGTACGATAGGATCTCGAGTAAAGTGGTGTCGCCGGTTAGGACGCCACCTAGCGACGCCGTGCAGAGGGCGAGAGACGCCGCCGACGCTCTCCGGGAACTGGAACATCGGCGCGATACGGACCACAGGGACTTGCAAGAACTGAGGGATCTGCTTTGCCGGCCGCACTTTAAGGTGAGTGGTATTGATCGATAGCGGTAGTTGGATGCGGTGCGCGGTAGGTGGCGCCGAAGCGGTGTACAGAAAACGATAACTTAGGACTTAAGGTGGCGGTCATGTATCAAGACGACGACAGAGGGAGCGGAATGTGCCAAGAATGCGACGAATTCGCGAAAAGTCGTCACATAAAAAAGGGACGCTGTGTTATTTCGATCGCTCGCGGTAATAAAATAACAATCTGCATAATTTACGAGCTGCATGGAAATGTTTAATTAAAAATTAATTAATTTGCGGCTGACTGATCTGAAATCTATTACCGTGTTAAATAATAATCAATGCTTTTAGAACAGTTCTGTGGGGAGTGATCAGGAAGTTGTTTTTATTGGGGTACCTGTCGGTAGAAATACCGTAATACGTTGGGTTTGAATCATGTTGCATGTCACAAGATGGCGCTTTTGAACTGACACTCAAAATACAAGTTCTTAACTTCGAAAATTCACGCGGAAGCTGGAGAAGCTTCAGAAATACATTCTTCCGAATAATTTATTCTTGATTGATTAAGAAATAAGGTATTTTTCTGGTGCTACGACCGGGCATGTAGCGAGCGCAGTGAGCGGAGCTCCTGATTGTGATTATTAATTTTCGTATATTTATGTATTTGTATGTATGAAGGATTATTTTAAAAATTGCTTGCATATAGAAAACAGTAAAATACATCATTTTCAAAAGGGACACTGTATATTTTGTAACATTTTCGAGATTATTTTTGAGCAGATTTTTCTTTAATGCCAAATTTGTTGATGATTATTAAACTAATTAACACGTGAAAATGATAAAACGCAGGCTGCTTCATTTGGAAAATAAAACACTATACAGTGTAGTAAATGCGAGATTGATGACTGCGTATTTACTGATTCACCCTGTATATGAAGAAGAAACTGTAATCAAATAAATAAATCGAAGTCGCTGAGATGTTGATTAAATTTATTTAGGGGTAATTAGAGAAAACGGGGCGAGCGCAGCGAGCATAGTTCTCGAATCTGATGATAAACTAGTTTTCATACAACCCTTAAAAAAAGCAGAAAAAGCAGAATTTCCCTTTGGGTCTAAATCCTCGTTTTTAATTTAGTCAAGGTTTTCTTTCGTGTTTTTGGAAAAATATACAGGGTGTCTCAATGTTGTGGTACCGGGAGATTATTCTTAGTGAATTATAGAAACAAATTTCACGCATAATAGAATTTACCTGGAGCTACTACAACTTAATATTATTTTCAAATATATAAATTGTTTTGTTCGAAACGAACACACCATAGTTGGATATTTTATTAAAAAAGTTTACCATGTTTACCATTTTTTTTGTTTCGATTTTTTTTATAAAAATATTTCAACGATTCTTAATCCGCCATATTTAAAGATGGTGGTTTGAAATGTTGCATTGTCATTTTAGTTTTGTTGCCTCAACTAAAGTGTACAGCTGACGAGTGTTGTAAGTTATTAATACAGTTTGACTAACTTTTCTAAAAATTGTTTTCGTATAATTTTCAGATGGTACACTGTATATTTTGTAACATTATTGAATTTGTTTCCGAGTAAATTTTCTTTTCATATCAAATTTGTTGATGACTATTAAATTAAGTAATAAGTAAAATATGATCAAATACAGGCTGCTCCATTTTAAAAATAAAACACTCTGTATAGTGTAGTAAATGCTAGATCGATGACCGCGATTTAGTGATTCACCCTGTATATGAAGAAAAAACTCTAATCAAATAAATCGAAGTCGCTCAGATTGTGATTGAATTTATAATGGGGGAATATAGAAAAGCGGGGCGAGCGCAGCGAGCATAGTTCTCAATTCCGATGTTTAACTATTTTTCGTACAATTCTTAAAAGAAGCAGAATTTACCTGTTGGTTAATAGAACATTTGGGTCTAAATCTTCGTTTTTAATTTAGTCAAGGTTTTCTTACGCGTTTTTGGAAAAATATACAGGGTGTCTCAATGTTGTGGTGCCTGGAGATTATGCTTAGTGAATTATAGAAACAAATTTCACGCATAATAGAATTCACTTGGAGCTACAACTTAATATTATTTTCAAATATATAAGTTGTTTCGTTCGAAAAGAACACACCATAGTTGCATTTTTTAACCCAATCTATTTTTAAGGATTTGGATTTCTTATTAAAAGAGTTTACCATGTTTACAATTTTTTTTTGTGTAGATTTTTTTTATAAAAATATTTCAACGATTCTTAATCCGCCATATTTAAAGATGGTGGTCTGAAATTTTGCATTGTCATTTTAATTCTGTTGCCTCAACAAAAGTGTACAGCTGACGAGTGTTGTAAATTATTAATACAGTTTGACTAAGTTTTCTAAAAATTGTTTTCGTGTAATTTTTAGATGGGACACTCTGTATATTTTGTAACATTTTTGAGCTTGTTTCCAAGTAAATTTTCTTTTCATATCAAATTTGTTAATGACTATTAAATTAAGCAATAAGTAAAATATGATCAAATACAGGCTGCTCTATTTTAAAAATAAAACACCTTGTATAGAATAGTAAATGCTAGATCGTTGACCGCGCATTTAGTGATTCAACTTGTATATGAAGCAAAAACTCTAATCAAATAAATCGAAGAGGCTGAGATGGTGATTGAATTTATATTGGGGGGTATATAGAAAAACGGGGCGAGCGCAGCGAGCATAGTTCTCAATTCCGATGTTTTTTTTTTATTGGTTAACGTTACCCAACAGGCCGGAGGCCCAATTACAGGGTAACGGGGGACATACACAACACCCAGAGCAGGGCGGGAATCGAACCCACGACCCAAGGTGTGGCAGGCAAGCGCGATGCTACCTAACCCACCCGGGTCCTTCTAACTAATTCTAATGTTTAACTACTTTTCGTACAATTGTTAAAAGAAGCAGAATTTATCTGTTGGTCAATAGAACATTTAGGTCTAAATCTTCGTTTTTAATTTAGTCAAGGTTTTCTTACGTATTTTTTGGAAAAAATACAGGGTGTCTCAATGTTGTGATACCAGGACATTATTTTTAGTGATTTATAGAAACAAACACACATAATAGTATTCATCTGGAGCTACAACTTAACATTATTTTCAAATATATAAGTTGTTTCGTTCCAAAGGAACACACCATAGTTGCATTTTTTAACCCAATCTATTTTTAAGGATTTGGATTTCTTATTAAAAGACTTTACCTTGCTTACCATTTTTTTTGTTTAGATTTTTTTTATAAAAATATTTCAACGATTCTTAATCCGCCATATTTAAAGATGGTGGTTTGAAATTTTGCATTGTCATTTTAGTTCCGTAGCCTCAACAAAAGTGTACAGCTGACGAGTGTTGTAAGTTATTAATACAGTTTGACTAAATTTTCTAAAAATTGTTTTCGTATAATTTTCAGATGGGAGACTGTATATTTTGTAACCTTTTTGAGATTGTTTCCGAGTGAATTTTCTTTTCATATCAAATTTGTTGATGACTATTAAATTAATTAATAAGTAAAATATGATCAAATACAGGCTGCTCCATTTTAAAAACAACGATGACTGCGCTTTTAGTGACTCACCTTGTATATGAAGCATAAAGTGTAATTAAATCAACAAATTGGAAGTCGCTCTGATGTTGGTTAAATTTATTTAGAACGATATAATAAAAACGGGGCGAGCGTAGCGAGCATAGTTCTCAATTCCGATGATTAACTTGTTTTCGTACAACTCTTAAAAGAAGCAGAATTTTCCTGTTTGTTAATAGAACATTCGGGTGTAATTTCTTGTTTTTAATTTAGTAAAAGTTTTCTTACGTGTTTTTGGAAAAATATACAGGGTGTATCAATGTTGTGGTGCCAGGTTTCTATAATTCCTAGTGAATAGTATAATAGAATTCATCTGGAGCTACAACTTAACATTATTTTCAAGTATATAAATTGTTTCTATTTTTAAGGATTTGGATTTCTTATTAAAAGAGGGAAAAAATCCTTGTACAAGAGGTCCTGTATATACCATTTTTCAGCGTGTTTAGAATTTTTTTTATAATAAAATATTTTAAAGATTCGTAATCCGCCATATTTAAAGATGGTGGTTTAGCATTTTGCATAGTGATTTTAGTTCCTTTGCCTTGAGAAACGTATACGCCTGAAGAGTGTTGCAACTTATTTATACAGTGTGACTAAATTTTGTATAAACTCTTTGTTTTCGTATAATTTTCAGATGGGACATTCTGTATATTTCGTAACATTTTCGAGATTATTTTCGAGTAGATTTTTTTTTGATGTCAAATTTGTTGATGATTATTAAATTAATTAATACGTAAAATATGATACAACACAGGTTGCCACATTTGGAAAATAAAACACTCTGTATAGTGTAGTAAATGCTATATCGATGACCGCGCATTTAGTGATTCACCCTGTATATGAAAAAAAAGACTCTAATCAAATAAATCGAAGTCGCTGAGATGGTGATTAAATTTATTTAGGGGTATATAGAAAAACGGGGCGAGCTCAGCGAGCATAGTTCTCAATTCCGATGTTCGGAACTGCTTTTCGTACAAATGTTAAAAGAAGCAGAATTTACCTGTTGGTTAATGGAACATTTGGGTCTGAATCCTTGTTTTTAATTGTATTGTTGTTATTTTAGTTGTTTTGTTCCAAAGGAGCACACCATAGCTGCATTTTTTAACGCAATCTATTTTTAAGGATTAGGATTTCTTATTAAAAGAAGAAAAAAATCCTTGTAGAAGATGTCCCATGTTTACCATTTTTCGGCATGTTTCGATTTTTTATATAACAATATTTTAAAGATTCATAGTCCGCCATATTTAAAGATGGTGGTCTGGAATTTTGCATAGTCATTTGAGTTCCTTTGCCCTGACAAACGCATGCAGCTGACGAGTATTCTAACTTATTTATACAGTGCGACTAAATTTTCCAAACATTTTGTGTTTTCTTATAATTTTCAGATGGGACACTCTGTATATCTCGTAACATTTTC